GGAGTTGGATGAGGTCTGTGTCTTTCGCTTAGCTGTTCTCCCTTCACATGTTTGTAGAAGTTTCATGACTTGTTCAGATTTATTTGTATTAGAGTAGAGCCTCTATTTGTCCACTAGTTGCTTTGGTACAGCAGACCTGTATTAGTGAACAAATGCTCAAATAGCCTTTACAAAATGATGGCTCCATGGTTTCCTGGGAGGCAAATCCTCTGAATATCTTCAAGAGGAATATAAAATAAGAAGTTCTTTGGGAAAAGCTTGTTTTTCTCCAGGATAAATACATGAAAAGGAGTAACATAAAAGGTGGACTGCAGAATGGAAGCTTATAATTGAAGTGCAGTAAAACAACCCAAAACAACTTTGTTGACTTTGACAGCCAGCTCTGCTACTGAGTTGCAGTATGTCTTTGGGCAAGCTGTTATATTTCTACATTAATTATTTTTAAACAATGTAAGGCTTTATGGAGTTTTTCAGAATACAAGACACGGTGGGTGAAATTTGGACTCTTCCGTAAACTGTGAGCACATGGCTACATTGAAGTCAAATGCAAATCTGGGTTTACACTTTCAAGGAACTCACTGAAGTCCAACTGCCATGAGGAAGGATTTTGTGAAAGTTTTGTCCCACACTTTCATTTATTTCAGAATGCATAGTACCAATTTTCAACACAATTCTTTCACTCACTGCAGAGCTGGCTTGCAAATACATATGTAAGCATACACTCAGAACTAGAGACGGGACAGATGAATACAAGATACTCTTCCCATTAGGTTGTTGAACAGGAGATTACTGAAGGTTAATTTTACTTTATTTTTTTTTTTCCTCCTGGTCTAGCCTCTTCTGCCTTTAAAAATGTTTGCATTAAAAAAGCACAGCATCTGACTTTGCTTCATTTGGTGGCTTCTGAGTCTTCATGCACCCAGATGCTACATTAAAGACATGGTGTATTTATTCCCATCCCATTGACTCTAGCTGTTTTCCATAAACACTATGAACTCTCTCAGTCCTGATGCTGGCTTGGATGCTGACTCACTAAGCATTGACGGTTTTGGTTTCATCATGCAGCTGACACACACTTATGCCCATTCGTGAATTTGTTTATGTTCTTCCTCACAGTCTCTCCACATTTTATACATTTGATATGCCAGGTCTCAATTCCCATATAATTTCCTCCTCAAAGAGCTCTTATTTCATTCCATACCTTAAAATAATGTGGCCTTTTTGATGTGTTTGCTGTCTTTCTAAAACTGAAGCTCTTCAATAGCAACAGTGAAAATTGGAACCTGTTATTGTTATTGCACAGGTTGTAGGTGTGGAACAGCTTTGTGCCCTTTTTCAGCTTGTACAATGGTGATTCTGAAGGGTGAAACCCACAGGATGTGGATGGTGAAGGACCAGCAATACTACAAAATCGATGCAACTCTCCTTAGATTGCCTTGCTGAAGGCCACGCCCTGCTTGAGGAATCACAACCTATGAGAATATAGGATGGTTTCTAAGGCAGAGCCATGGCTGATACATATTGTAGCTCCACTGATTCGGGTTCCCTTCCACCCCTATTCATCCCTTGATTTTTTTTTTTGGACCTGAAAGCATTAATGCAGAAGTGAGTTCTGCTCCTGATTCTGCCACTGGGTTACTGGGAGGTTTTAGATAAGTGCTTTCTGTGCCTTGGTTTCCTTATCTGTAAGATACAGGTAAAGATTTTGAATGTTGTATTTTATACTCGGAAACCAGAGATGGGCAAGCATTGTAGAAGGGCTAGTAATTACTAACAAAAATGAAAGGTAATGCTGTTGTGATGCTGATTCCTTGCATGCTTAAACTCTTCTTGAACAAAGGCTTTGTGATGCATTAAATACTATTACTGTACTTTGAAAAACCAAGAATACGAAGAAAAAGACTTGAAGAACATGCCAATAGGAAGAAAACATTAATTATAAAACAACTGCTATCCAGGAGCTGAGCTCTCAGCGGGCAGCCACTAAAATAATGTTCTTATTAATAACAGTGGTAAGCCAAACATAAATAAGTTGCTTAGCATTGAATTTAATTGTTCTTTTAGGTGTCTGACTCAATATCATCATCAAAACAAGAGAGTCACCAACAATGCTATCTTTTTTACATAATTAACTTAGGGCAGCAGGGAGTAATTTATTTAGGCAGATTTTAATTATTGAAAGTCGAGCACATAAGAAGTCTTAGCAGTATCTTCAGCAGAGGACATTTTATTGTTCACCTAACTCCTACACAATACTTAATTTTTTGAGGGAAGACTGGACTTCTAATATTGATAAAAATGTAACAGCAGTTATTTAATAATGACTGTAATAGCTCACTTTTTGCACAGAAGGCTAAATGTGCAGATTGGAAAGTTCATCTGTGTGGCTGTTACGATAGCACCAAGAACGTCTTTGACCCCTTTTCTAATGCAGTTGAGTAACAGAGTGCAACTATTGCATACAAAAGGAAAATAGAAAATAATGGTTTTAAAGATGTTGGCAGATGACCCAAAGTCTGGGCAGATTTTAAAGGAGACACAGTCTGTAGTGGAACATGGTATTTTTGTCCTGTACTCAAAAGCAGATCAAACTTCTGTGTCAATATTCTCTAATGCATTCGGGACTGATAGCGTTATTGATGCCAGTCGGTCCCTCCTGAATGCTCTAAGTCTTAAACTGGTGCGTAGAAAATGCACTAAATTATTTGAAATCTTTCTGTTCGTCATGTTAAATTAGAGGCTCTGAGAGCTGCTTAGCGTTGTCCAGCTCCTACTTGCATGTTAATGTTGCCATGCATTAGAGAATTTCCTGAAGAGCCAAACTTGTGCTTCAACAGCACAACTGCAGTTAGAGAAATTCGCAGCAAAAAGGGCCGTGTGTCCTCTTCTTTGGACTGGATAACTTCAAAGTCTGCGTGTCACCTGAAGGACCCCGCTGGTTCCCCAGGCAACACCCAGTGTATGGGGAGAACACTTTAACCGTGCCTGTGGTGAAATCTGGATCAACAAACCGCAAACTGAGCTGGCTGCAAGAACAGACACCTCGTAGGGAGGCTGTGGCGGTGGTGACGTTGTATCATACGCTGTCACCCTTCGCCTGTGTTATTTTTTGTTTCCATGGCTGCCTGTAGTGGCAAGGTTCTTTCCACATGCCCAGACACTGGTACCCCTCTCTGGGGCCTGCGTGACCAGGGAAGCGTCAGCTCCTTTGGGCAAACTTGTATTGCTCTTTCCTGGTGCTACCGTGCCAACTGTGAGCAGTGGAGGCCTTTTCTGTTCTCAGCAGCCAGGGCAGGATCTTTCTAGGGCCTTTCAATGGTGCTAAATTTTCTTCTTTCGAAAAAACCAACAAGCTCAGCTCAAAAGAAGACGGAACATGAAAAGACACCTCACTGTTTCACAGATGGCAGGTTTGTGCCTTATATGCCTTTTTGTCAGCCTGCCCTGGAGCCTTGAGCTAAACCTCGTCTCCTACAATTCAAAGGAGTTGGAGCTAGGTCCAGCGAAGAAGCGATAAGGTACATGTCTGGGGGGCTTGGTCATCTTACTGTTATCTGATAACAGAGGAGTTACTGAAAAGATTTTTTTATCTTGTCAAGATGCTCAGTCTGGAGAAACAGGCTGCTTCCAAGTAGTTGCTCCTTGTCTCTTTACTATCCTCTAAAACCAGAGGACTCGGGGCTTCCAGTGTCTCGGTAATAAGACAGACAGCTTTCCAAGCGCAAGTGCCCACTGGAGCTTCCCCTGCCTTCTCTGCATTCCCCAATAGGTCAGTGGCATGCTCTGAATATCCCAAGTGGATTCTCTTATGTCATGTTTATCAGGGTTGCCCTGGGCTGCTAATATGTTTTGGATTGTTTGTGCCGCACATGACATATGGGCAGGTTTTCATTTTGGTGAAAGGTGATCCCGGGGAAGGAAAATGTATTATGTTGGCAGGCCAATAGCGACGATGGCCCGAAGGCAAAGTCACTGCAGTCGGGGATTATTTAATTATTATGGTTGGCCAATGTTCCGGCCAATCCCCTAAAAAAGGTTTCTGGGTAAGTAACGCTCCGTGCGGTAGCAGGTGAATGCTCTGACAGCCTTCACCCGCTCGGCACCCTGACCTCCAGCCTCGCACGCATTTCCCGGGAACGCACGGATCCGCCTGCAGGCTGACTGCTCTGCTACTCACCTAAAACTGCAAATCCTGCAAAAATCTGAGCCAGCGAGTACATCAGGGAGTCTTTCTCCCCCTCTGCTTTTCTAAGGCCAATCCTGGGATTTGGGCTGTGTGATGAGCGTCAGCGTTCAGCCCAGCGCCCTTTGAAGGGCTCCAAAGGGAGTTTGTCGTGAGCGCTCTCCCCAGTTCTCCCTGTAGCTCCGTGCTCCCTCCTCCTCCTGGCATGGCCTCCTTCTCTGGCTCATGGCGGTGGTTGTTAACTGCAGCCAGAGCTCATCTATCTCCCTTTCTTTCCCCGCTTCAAACACTCCTGTCTTGTGTTAAAGCTTTGAATGGACAAAAAAAAAAAGAAAAAAAAAAAAGAAGAAAAAAGCAACTGTCTGAAATGAAAGAAGAGTGCAGATGAGATGAGCACAGACAGAAGAAAAATGTTTTTGAAAAGGGAATAGGTGGGAGGAGGAGAAACACCGTAGGCTTTTAATAAGTAGTTTAGTTTTATTCTTGTGCTATGTTTGTTTCATGTTTCCTAGCTCAGATTGAAGGGATTACAGGTGGTGTAGATTTTATGTTCAGGTCCCACTCACATGACCAAACTCTATATATTTCATAGGAGATGGTTTTCTTTCTTCTCCTCCTAGGAAGACAGGCTATGGTTTATTTTCGCTGTCCTCTCACAGACCTGCTCTGTAAATGGATGCCACACGTAACTCCCAGTTTCAAGAAAAGTCAGAGTGATACTGTCTAATTCTGTCTGCAGTGTTTCACTCCATCTTAGGCTATTACAAAGCAGCTTTTTTCGTCCTCTTGCAATTTCCTTTGAAGATCAGCCATGAAGAATTGATTGGTTCACATTATTACTAATCACAACTCTCCAGATTGCTCAGGGAGGAATTTCAGTGGTGTAACACTTAACCTGAGATGTCATGGGAACTAAGCCTCCAAGTGGGTCTCAGCCTTTAAGCTGCTGTTAGGAAAGATTTGTAGGTGCTTTAGCTCATGTGATGTGAAACACCTTTAATACCTTTGAATTTCCTAACTCAGCCTTTTGACTTTCACGTCTCTTCTGCTCAAAAATCTGCTCTTAAAGTTACTTGTATCTACCAATAAAAATGTGTCATTTTTAGAGTAAAATCAGCTTCTGGCTTAGTAGGAATTTCCAAAAGGTATGTACGTTTAAAAAAAAAAAAAAAAAAGACTGTTCAGTGGACTTGTTAGTTCTTTGAGGACTCAAGCGCTGGCACTGAGGTCCATGCATGAGCTCTCCAGGGCCAACGTTCAGGCTGTACCCAGAGGTCACTTGCGAGAAGCGGGGCTGTGATGTGGAGGGTGAGTTTGGGCTTGGGCACGGCAGCAATCCCAAGAGGACGGCACTGCAGGACTGACTGCTTTTGGGGATGTAAATGGTAACAGGAGGAGCACACCACATCCTGAGTACAGACAGGGATGTTTGAGTGCAAGTGTGGTGCTGGCTCAGAGTCAGACTACTTGTGGTCTGGACTATGTTCTCACACCTAACAAACATAGTGAAACCCAGGTTGTGTGGATCAGAGACCTCTGGCACTTCTCGTGGCTGCAGCTAGAGATCTGTTGCAGCATCTGTCTCCTGCAGAGACCTGGTAGGTAGATGGGAGACTTTCAGATGAATCTGAACACAGGTTCAGAGTTCTATGTCACTGATCCATTCAATTCATCGGTAGGGCAGAAACAACAAATAGTCTTGTAAAGAGCCTTAATTAATCAAAGCTTTGTTAAAAGAAACCAGAGAGCTCATCTTTAGAGTTGCTACGTCAGAGGCTTCCTTGACTTACTTCAATTTATATGACAAGCCCCATCCTCAGGTGTTTTATGATACTCACTTTACATAGACAAAGTGGAAAACCAGCCCCTTGTTAATGGAAGTCTTCCTTCGTGTCTTGCTGTTCTGAGGCACTAAACAAAGTTCATCACCTTCCTTATCTGTTGAGTGTCTAAGCATGAAAGGGGTTTTTGTCTCTGGAAAGAACCTTGTGAATGGGTGGTCACAAAGTGCTCTGTCTGCGGTGGACTCGCCCTCGCTTTAGGTTAGTGTAACACTCCTTATCTCAGAGTTGCTCCTAATTTAGACCAGAGAACAGAATTCTTGACGAAGGGGAAAATCAGGCTCAATGGCTTCTAGCAAAAGTGGCGGGGGCATGAGGTTTCTTTTTTGGATTACTGTAGCTTCACATGTGCTATGTTTTGTGCCTCAAGTGCTAAAGATAACAAGGAAAATAAACCGGTTGTATTTATTAGGGGACATAGCCAAGACTCTCAGATGTTATTTGTTTGGTGTTTTGAAGAGAACCAGCACTGAGATTTTTGCCTGGCCAGCACCACCTCAGTTGCTGAACTGCCTGCCTTTAAGCCAGCAGCCTTGTACCTAAGTGTTTTCATGGTTGTTTAACAACTGCAGGTTGGGGAGGAGACATCTCCCTGAACTCAGCATGATGTTACGGTTCTTGGCCTCTTGGTAGAGGGATTTCAGGAAATGACTGGAAAGTACGTGCTAGGATTATCTGGTAATGCACCCATGAAAAGGGCAGGACTACTTGCCTACCAAAATTACAGGCATTTAGTTTTGTGCTAGGTTGCCCCTAGCATGGGAAAGAAAAGTGTCTGTATTGAACTTGGGACTTCTGTACAGCGGTATGGAAGAAGAGCTACTAACCCATCCTACAGTGCTTTTTTTATGGCAATCATCTGTTTTTTAATATGTTAAGCTACCATCAGATCATAGTTGTTGTTCTGGATCGGTTACTTGCATGAGATGTTCTATATTTTTGTAGCCTGAACTTGTAGTACTCTTGGGCAAGAGGTAACTGCCTCCCTGATTGATTTTTACATCATGAATATTCACTTAAAATTTCTTTGCATGTTGCATCTTAAGAATAGTGCTCATGCACATAAGTTTTCTTTGTGTACATGAACAGTTGTGGACTGTCCAACGTCATGTGTATGAGATAATTCTCATGGAAAACTCAGTTTTAGGTGTTCAAAAAATGGATGAGACTTTTGGAAATGCATCCATCTTCAATTTCTCTGGGCTAGAACCTTCTCTTCACAAAAATTGTGTTATTTTGGAACAGTGCCTGTGCATATGTTGTCTGTTTCTAATGCTATCAGTAGATGCTGTCCATTTGAGAACATTACACTTCATTCCTTCCTAAAGAAACACCATACTCTTGTGCCAAGTTTGCAGTAAGCTGCAGCCAATAATCTGGCTTTTAAAACTTGAAACCCAAAGGGTAACAGCAGTAAGAGGAGACGGTAGGCTCTTCTACATTGTCTTCTACAGACATCCCAAGGTGTTTCACCCCATGTGAGGTTTACTACATTTACTTCTGTGTGCACTCATTGGTATGAATTGGAGTGAGAGTGGCCTGGCCGGCAGTGCTGGGTTCTGGGCTTTGGCTGGTTTCTTCTGTGCCCTGTTTTGGTGCCACCTTGCCAAATTCTCTTGTCTTCTGTTCTTCACTTCATCCGTCTTACAGTGATTGTACCCAATGTGCAGTGTATTGGTATGGCAGTTAATTAGTGCTAACTAATCACGAAATGTTTGAGATCATTTGAAGGAGAGGGGTGGCAGTGTGCAAAGTGCCGTTCCTACATGAAAAGCTGTACCAGCTTCACCACATGTGCTCAAGCAGCTGGCATTTTGCAGGTAGATTGAGACGGTACGCTGCAGATGAGTTTACACTGACCAGTTCTCTTTATCCTAGCTCACATGAACATCCTCTTACGGATGGCTCCTCGTAGAAAGGCAGTTCTGTATATTGACAGCAGAGATGAAAGCAAAATGCACCAGCTGGGATCCATGGTGCTAACACAACAGAGAGGAGACGCTGCTTACGGGGCCCACTGGTCTGAGCTCTCAGCTGTGCTTATCCTCATCTGTCCTCTTTCACTCTTAATAATTTTGACAGTGCTTCCTTTTCTAGTCTCTTCCCTCATAAGTAAGAGCTTTGTACTGTTTAAACTGACCCATTCCTTTGTGCCAAGGTCAAAAATGGGAGGGAGGAGGGGATCTGTTTCTACAAATGGACTTACATCTTCTAGAAAAAAAAAAAAATAATTCCAATTAAATGCAGAGCAGAGCTGTAAATAGCAATGGCCAGGTAATTGCTGTACCAACTTAGACGAAAGTATTACTTAGTGATTAAATGTCAACAGGTTTCATAAACAGCAAATGTCTTTAAGTTGACATAAAGAAGGTGTCTCTGGAGGTCACTGTAAATACCAGATTTATTGTGCCTCAGTGGAGAATGTGCTGAAAATGGAAAGGGAAATGTCACCGGAGATCTTGAGAGTATCTTAGTAAAACAGAAGGGTTGTTGGTGCCAGCAGTAAAAAGTTTTTGACTCCTTGAACTAACTGTTAGCAAACCATATTTAATACTTGGTATCTTATTAATAAAATGTTCATTTTTCAGGTCAGACTATGATGACTGGAGACCAGCACTGGCTAGCTTGCTTCAACCCATCCCATTTCCCAAGGAGTAAGTTTGCACTGTCTTAGTATTTACTGTGTTATTCTTGTTACTGTTGTTTTATGGGGAAATATGTCAGCTAAAAACTGATGGTAATTGGAGCTTCGTGCCTCTAGTATTGATGCAGAATCTAGAGTTGATTTTGGCTGATGCAGAGGGATGCAAAGACTTCCCCATCTTGAGCTTCCTTCCCCATTTCTCCAAGATGATCCTGAAGAGAGAAATGGTTAACTAGGGACAGGCAGACAAGAAAAGAAGGAAAGCTGGTGAGGAGGAGAGTAAAGTAAGAGATTTAGTGGAGAAGGATGCTTTACTGGCATCACAGAAACTCGTAACACTTGTATGTTGCATTAAATAAAGAAGCTACCCTACACATCAGCCAAGCTCCCTCGGAAACCTGTTAATGAACAGGAGTGTTTATAAAATGCAGACCTCCACGGACAAACATTACAACCTATAATTGTACAATTTGCTAGCTTATCACATCCCCTAATGACCTGGTGTCTTGAATCAGAGAGGTCTAATCCTCCGTGCCAGGTTACCTGGGCTACAGCAAGAGCTTAGAGATAGGCAACAGAGACATCATTTACCTAAGTCAAACGTGAGTCCTGGGGGAGGTGTAAACCATACCATGATGCAAGGCACTTCACAGAATGACCATTAATTGCTTTACTGATGTATGATGTTAATTAGTTGTGACTGTACCTTAATTGCATAGCAATTAAAGAATTCACCTGGCTGTAGGAGGTAGGCAAAATTCAGGCTTTAATTATATAGCTGTACTGTAAGTCTTTTACTTACTTTCTTCTGACCCAAAGCTCCCACTGACGTTAGTCAGAGCCTTGTCTAAGACAGGACTCTGAAAAGGCGACAAGATTTGTTCCAAGTCTTTTTTTTTTTTTTTCTTTTTTTTTTCCCCCCCCCCCCCCCCCTTAATTTTTCTTCCTCCTAGATTAATGAAGGAGACTTTACCTGATCTTTTTTGGAAAGATTATTCTTTTCATCTTGTGTGCTGCAGTTGCTTAGCAAATCCTTTTATTATCTGGAAATAACTAAAAAGTGGTTGTTTGGTTTTTTGGGTGTTCTGTCCCCCCTCCCAAATACTCATATTCTTCTGTTTTTCTGTTTTAAATTTCAGGGCTCTTGCACATGAAAAATTCACAAAGTAAGTTTGTGGGGCTTGTTTGTTGTATTAAAGGGGGTAATTACTTAAAATGCTTGTACTAGTCAATGATAGCAATGATGCATTATTCAATATTGTGTTTCTAATATTTTTTATCTGTGAGAGACTGTGAGCATGTTCTGTTAGCAATAAAAAGATGTAGTTTTCTTTGTAATTTACTGTGACGGCAGGAGCCCAAGGACTCAAGACACTGGATGCTGATAGAATTTACAAACCAGTCCGTCACTGCACATCTCTGAAAGCTTTTCTAGACTATTGTGAATAGACACTGTCCTTGGCGATCACTTTTAGACCTCATATTTCCTTCCTGTGCTAGTAGTTCAACTTGTTTCTCTGTAAAGTGCATGAATATATATTGTTTAAAGTGTGATCCAAGAGAAGTGTGACACTTGTGTGAAAACTGCAACCAGCAACTGCTTATTCTTGTCCTTTAAACTTCTTTTTTCTCAGGGAGCTGAAATACGTGATTCAGAGATTTGCAGAAGACCCGAGGCAAGAAGTGAGTTTATTGCCAGTTTACACAGACTATTAATTGGGGGGATTACAAGCAAGTATACTTGTTCAGAAGACCTCTCCTTAAATAGTCTGTTTCAAAACATGGTGTGGTTTTGCTGTGCTTCAGCCTCTTAGGGAGTAATCGCCACTCAGGGCACACGGTCTTAGTATGAATGGTTTCTTGCCTGATGTATAAACATGCGTTGTGACCTTCTTGTCTGGCATCAGTTGGTGTCCTTGCTCCACAGTAAACTGCAGCCAGCAAGATTTTCCCACTCTGTTGAATCTCTCAGAGCTTTTTATCTTCCATACAAAAAAAGGGAAGCAAAATCCATGGATCCATGCAGCTTACAAAATAACAGGTTTTATTTAGCTGCATTTCAGTTACATTGTGTGCAAATGACCTTAATTCTCATGAATTAGCAGGAGAAAGGGGGTGGGAGGTGTGTTACTGGAATGAGTGCCTAGCTGTAGCCTCATGGTGGCTGACTGCTTCATAGCTGCACATGTTCAACATCATCAGCTTTGGCTGAGTCAGAGGGAATCTCTCATCCGCATTCATTTTTGGTGTTGGCATAAAGGGAGGAAAGCTCCCCCAAACTGTGGGAGAGGAGGCTGTGTCATCATCGTCATTGCACAGAACTCCTGGTTTTCATGGGTTTAGCCTTTGTGAGCAGTAGTCATCCTTGTCAGGTAAAAGAGACCTTCTCATCTTAGAATAGCACCAGGATTTCATCTGTCACTGGTGTTACATGCCCAAAGGAAAGAGCAAGGACTTTACCTGCCTGCTCCCCATTACCCACTCCCGCCCCCCCCCCAAAATATTGAAGTAGAACATCTGTCTTTTCAAGGGGAAAGAAAAAGGAAAAAGAAAAAAGCTTAATTATGACTCCTCTGTTAAACTGTGGGACTAAATATATAATCTTTACAGTGGGCCAAATTTAGACTAATGGTTGCTCACTGGTGCCAGTTCTTCTGTGCAACTTAGGTCTATGTATCCCTGTTGAACTTTCCTTGTGGTCTTCCTTCACCCTGACTCTGGTCAAGTTTTATTACAGCAGGAGTAATAGGAATTTTTAAGGATTGGAATGAGCAAGCCATCAGCCGCTGCATTAGCTATGCAGATCACATCAGTATAGACACACATGCTGGGAGGATGGGGGGAAAATGGCAGAAGCTCAGAAATTTGAGTCTTTGTTGGTTTTTTTTGATTGTTGGTTTTTTTTTTTTTCCAAGTGAAAGGAGCTGTTCTAGATTAGAGCCATTTTGTGTTTGATTTGTGTAAAGGGAATGAAAAAGGCCACGCAATTAATGACGATACAGCTTCCCTCTGTGTTTATACTGAAAAAAACCCCCTGATTCTGTGAGTAGAGACTTGCCTGCAGCTCTGTAGATTGGAATATTAACCATGACATTTCTATCAGTCCCCGGTTTTGCAGAGTTACTTCTTTTGGCCCAGTGTGGGAGATGCTGGTGATTATTGGCAGGAACTGTAACCTTCCCAATGTCTTCACTTTTTGGCAGGTCCACTCATGTTTGCTGAGTGTGCGGGCTGGCAAAGACGGCTGGTTCCAGCTCTACAGCCCTGGAGGAGTGGCATGTGATGATGATGGAGAGCTGTTTGCCAGTATGGTACGTGTCTGCAATAATGTGAGTTTAGTAACTTCTTTGCAGTAAGTAGCTAACACATAGTAGGCAGTAGCAAGATTTACTTGCTGTTGTCAAAAAATTATCAAAATCATCGTTCTGTAAACCACAGGTGTTTACCAGGCAATCTAAATCTTTGTAGCACCAAATCCGTTGAACTTCCTTGCAGTCACAATTTGGTTAACATGTTAGCTTTCTCTTTTTGAACTTCGGTGTGTTTTTTTCACTGGTGATGTAACGCACAAAACCATGCATGTATATGTGTGTGTGTATGTATGTACATATTTTTGTATTTATCAATGTGTGTGTTTGCGTGTCTGTATAAAAAAACTCTCTCAGAAAATGTCAAATACTGGCAGACAGGGGAAACAGACTATTCTGCACATCCACACCTGGGTGTGCTACCCTGTTTTATAGGCTACCCCGGAATTTAAAAACAACAGTAACATTGAATTAATCAAAGGATGGATAGATAGACATAAAAATGTGTTAGCAGTTTCTCTCCCCAGTTACGTTGTTATGGGGAGGTATAATTAGAAACCAGCATTCCATTTCTTGCAGTTATTTCTTTGGTAACTCTTAGAAGGACTAGACAGAAAATAACAGGTTTTAATCACTGATGCTGGCACTGTCTCCCTTTGCAACCTGGGTCAAGTCACGTAGGTCTCACTGTGTCTTAATTCTCCATAGAGCAAGTAAGATGGAAATTATATTACTTCGTTTCCCTTGTAAGGGGAAAAACATTTGTTGGGCTTGGCTATTTGGGTATACAGTGAAATGACTGTCAGGAGGATCTACATTTTGTGCACCTCCTACATGCCGAACATTTTGGGACATAAAGAACACGCATGTCTGTCTATGCTCTTAAATTCAGATGGATCAGATGCCTTTGAAAACAGATAATGGACAAAGACTGTTCACAAAAGGTTTCATCCCTTTTCACTGATTCTATGTCTTTTTATGTTTGAAAAGAAATTTTCTTCAGAACTGTATCACTTCTCCTGAGAGCTTTTGTGGTCCAAGATATTTATGAGCATCAGGAGATGGCGTGCATGAGAAAGCACAATGCTAACACACATTAATATGCAGTACTCTGTGCCCTTTGCAAGGATGTTGATAAATACTTAAAGAGCTGCTAATGACTAACCATAAAGTATGAAAAACATCCTGTTCTGAGATGGACCTTACATTAGTGTTAGTGCCAATGTTTTCAGTCACTCAAGAAAACCTCCAAAAAAGCTTAATGATAACTGCATGAAATGAAATTCTTTTTGGCTTGAAGCTTACTGTTTTTAAAAGCCACCTGAGCTGATGGATACTTAAGAAAAAAAGATTTTGTGTTCTTCTTAAGGCCTTGCTGATAGTGAAGCCATGAGGAAGAATTACATGGTAGCACGTGATCCGCGTAGAATTGGCCCCATCGTGGTGTGGTTGCGACATTTTCAGCCCTATTGAACATGTTCCAGGCGATACCGTGAACCAGGGGGACCACAGAACATATTTACAAGCTCATTGTAGAGTAGTACTGATGTCGAGCCTGCATAATGGAGCGCTTACTGCCCAGGTCACTGGAAACTACAAATTCTTACATAGCGCTCTTCCAGCAAGCTGGTAAATCAGCCACCTGGGCCGTAAAATAAGACTTTCAGCTAGGAACCTGAAATTCTCTGCAGCTAGTCTCTGGGGCTTTTAAATGGGAAAGAATATTGCCAACCTCTTCTGTGAGAAGACTCTTACATCTGCTCTGCGCAAGTGGCTTTGCATTTCTGCCATAGGCGTTACTATCTGCTATCATCTCATGCTTTCTGGAGCTAGGAGAGGGTCTGCAGGACGCTTCTGTCAGCTAGTGAACTTGGAGGAGTCTTACTCAGGTGGCATTCTCAGCATTTCTTTCCTTTCAGGGAAAACTGAGCAAAAGGGAAAGCAAGATAATGACCCAAGGGCATGAAAGCACATCATCATCATCTCTGACTTAGGGCTCAGGATTGCCAGATTTTCTTAAGGCACTCCTTCCTTTCCCAGCCAGCTCTTGTCTGTTCGTTCTGAACAGGTGATTTTGTCTGTCACCACCCCTTAACCAAGGCTAGCGTTCAGCCAGCAGATTGCCAGCACCACTGCCTTTTACCTAGACATCCAGCCCACGCAACCCTGGCTCACCAGCTGGCATTTCCAGAGAAACTGAACCGCAAACAGATGCAAAAGCAAAATCTCCTGTGGTTCTGCTGGGGCTGGGTTCATCGTGTTACTAGGGATGGGGGCAATTGCACAGCTGCTCTGATGTTTCCTGGGGAGCCTGTATCAGGCCTCCGGGCTGTCAGCTGAGCTCCTTTGTGGAGGAAAACTACCCGCTCCCTCAGATCTCACTAGGCATCACCTTTTTCAAAAAGTCACTTCCAATCAGCAATAAAGCTGTCGAGAGGCTGCAACCATAATAGTAATGAGGGCCTCCTTTTCTTTAGGTTTGTTGCAAACACTTAGATTTGGTTGACTGCGTAACAATGTCCCTTCCAGAGGTACATGTGTTTCTTAGGCTTACACCTCTAATTTTAGTTCTGTTTTTCAAATAGGTTCATATTTTAATGGGATCCTGCTATAAAACAAAGAAGTTCCTGCTTTCACTGGCTGAAAATAAATTAGGACCTTGCATGCTACTGGCTTTGAGGGGTAACCAGACGATGGTAGAGGTAAGACCTAAAGTATACGTAGTCATATAGGTTTACAAGTGGTATTCAGATTTGGCTTCACACTGCCTTTCCCAGAATTAGATCTAGTGGAACTAGAGAAGAAGCCGAGTTCAGGCTTGTGTCGTATCAAACACCAGCAGTGGGCAGTTGTGTTTCTCTTTAAGTGCAACAGAATATTGTTGTTCTGCAGATAGGAGTGTGAATTCTATGAACGGTAGGTACAAGGATTTTTGGAGAGAGAGATTGTTTGCTATAATTCAGTTGGAGAGCCTAAAATGGGAAATAAATGGCCATGATGGTATAGGCTGTGACGAGGGGCCAGAATTCAGAACCACAAGGTTTTTCTGGGACTAAATGCCTGATACTTGTCTTGCCACCTGCAAAATGAGCAGTGCACAAGAAATGCATTTACAAAACCTTATTTGCTTCCATAATACACAGGTTTTTGTGCTTACGGTTGGTTATTTTTGTTGCACTAATAGTTTATATATATATTTTTCTGGGTTTCTTTAGAGAATTTTCTTGATGAATGTCATCATATATTTTAAATGGAAATAAGAGGGTGGTTAAATAGCTGGAAGGAGTTACAATTTTTCATTGACATAGATCTGTGCATGCTAATTTAATCCAGTAAATAACAGAGTGTGCTGCATGAATTTGAATATAATGTTGCTTGATTTTTTTAATTAAAAATAATTAAAATTATGGAGGGAATAAAAACTTTGCATTTTAATTGCAGTGGCATGATAAGTAGCTGAAAAGAAAAGGCAGCGTGGAGGGGGCAGCTTCTGTCCTAAGCCCATGTGACCCACTGGAATCATCCCCTGCTCTCTGACTTGCTCCTGGCAGACCCTTGCCCAGGGACGACTCGGCCCTGTTCCCTATGAGATGGAGGGTGTCGGGGCCACAGCAGCGAGCTCCCAGCACCATCTGCTCTGGGAGCCTCTCTGGCCTTTCACCATCCTGCCCCATAGACTGGATGTACTTCACATGCATTCTGCTTGCAGAGAAACCCCAGCACTTAGGGACAGAAAATCCAGCGCTTAGGGAATGGCTTGCCTGTACTGCTCATGTGTAATGTCCCAAGTCTGCCAATCTGGAGTCCAGCCGGTGTACCTGGGAGACATGGGGTCGATTGTACCTGTTCTGAAGAGGGCTGTGGCATGAAGCCATCTTCCAGGACTGATGCAAAGTAATTGCACCTCTCAGTCAGAAGGAATAAGCGCTAATGGAAGACAGGATAGATAGGCCAACTTTCAGAGATTAGAGTTCATTCTTAACAAATAAAAGATTGGTTCCTTGTGCTGGAAGGTCGCTAAATGTTGCTAAGATCCTCTAATCTAGCCTGCATAATGCACGCTCTAAGAACTTACCCAGTAATTTGAACTAGCATGCCCAGTGTCATTAGGATATTTGGGAGAAACTGACTGTAAGCGCTGCAGTGACCACTCTTCTTTCATTCTGCTGCTAGATTTTGTGTTTGATGCTGGAATACAACATCATCGATAATAACGACACCCAGCTCCAGATCATCTCTACCCTGGAAAGCACAGACGTGGGAAAGAGAATGTATGAACAGCTGTGTGACAGGCAGAGGGAGTTAAAAGAGCTGGTATGTTGCCCTGCATGCGGTATTGCCATAGCACGTTGCAGTCTGTACTCTCCAGAAATGGAGGTACAAAAGAAAGACAAGCAGGGTGTGAAATTCCCAGTTAACAACAGGATGGGAGAGTATTTGGAGGATTTTACTGTGAATATATATACTGTGTGATATTTACCGATGTGTCTAATCCCATACTATGCTTATGAATGATATTCAATAACCTGCTTAGAATCTGCGTGAAAGTATAAAGGTGAAATCCTGCCGTCTTAAGATCTTACAAGTCAGCTTGTCAAATTCTGCCACCTTTTGACATATGAGTAGCAAATGGTTCTAGTGCTGGCCAGCATTTCTTAATGCTTTGACATTCACAGCATTTCACCGAGATGGTCTTTAGTTCTCAGAGCTAGAGCCTATGAGAATTTTTTTTTCCTGATTTTTAAAGACAGGATCTACAGATTGAAGATATATCTGCTCTCATTAGCACTTTTTCACCTATGCAAACATACCCACAATCTTTCTCTTCCCTCTTTCCCATTTATATTTGTCTTCCTTAACCCCTGCTCCCAGCATGAAAAGTATATGCTTTTTTTCAAGTCAAACAAATTATTTTATCAGCTGTGCAGTCTCGCCCCCTTTTTTGCTATCTTAGTCCAGCATTTTAAGGCTGTTTCCTTTAAAGTGAAAGTAATGAAACAATGGCAGGCTGAACCGGACAGGACGCTGACCCGTGGCATGAAGATCACTGGCTGTGGTTTAGTGGATGTCCCCTGGGTAGCAACAGGCCTGCATCTAGCACACTCAGAAAAAAAATCTGTCAGTGCAGAAAAAGCAGGGAAGAGGTGGAAGGGCTGGCAGGGAGCTTTGAAATCAGAGCAGGGTTTGCTTTAGTGAAGAGCTTGCTATATACTTGAGTTGGTCTGTAAAGTAGAATGGTGACTTGTTTGACCAAAAATATCTTCTCTCTTACAGCAAAGAAAAGGTGGTCCCACAAGGTTGACACTGCCATCCAAATCCACAGTAAGTTAATCATGTCAATAGAAAAACAAGGTTTCTCTTTCCATATTTAAACACTTGATTTATGTTTGCCATGTGGCACAGCGGTTTTGGTCAGTCGAGAGGGGAGCCATTCCGCTTGCTCTGTCAACACAACTGGAGTTTACACAAGTAAGGGCACATTTCTGCTCTTGGGTCTGTGCAGCAGTTTCCAATGCCAGTACAAGCATCAGACTGTCAGATTTATACTGGTGCACAGATTTGGAATTTACAGTAGGATCTAATGGTAGATTTGGGGATGGAATTTTGCATTAAAAAAGCAGACTTCACAATGTCCAGTTCTGGATCTTGGACATGAAAGTCTGAGAGAGACCCGTTGCTGTTGCAGTTGAGCCTGGTGTAAACCCAGACTAACTTCACTGAGGCCAGGTAACACAGTCCTGAACACAGTTTGGATCTAGAACTTGCAGTGAAATCTTCATTAAGTTAAAAGAACCATCTTCGACATTTGTTCTGACACTGAAGCCTTCGTGTCTCATAAGGATATACACGCAAAGAAAATTTTTGTCCTAATGTCTGGATACATTTTTCCCAGGGTGTGTGAAGCAATGCTGCCACAAGAGCCCAGCTGCTTGCCAAATAAACAGAAACTTCTCTGTGTGGTTCTCTGTTACTGTAAACAAGTGGTATAATTGTGCAACTCTTGCTGGTTAACAGTATCAGTAACACCACGGCAGATGATTGCAGGCTGAGGAGTCAATGGTCTTGCTTATCAATCCGTTGTTTGCTTTCAGGATGCAGACCTGGCCCGCTTGCTGAGCTCGGGATCTTTTGGAAATTTGGAAAACCTCAGCCTGGCCTTTACCAATGTGACAAGTGCTTGTGCTGAGCACCTCATTAAACTGCCTTCACTCAAGCAGCTGAACCTGTGGTCAACTCAGGTAAGTGCTTTGCAGGCTGAAACTCAGAGCAAGAGCCAATGCTGACTAATTCTGAAATTTCACATTACGTCAGCACGAGACGAGTGTGTGAAGAGGCTTCCTTAGAATGAGTTTGTCCTCATGCTATTTTTATAGGGCCTTTCTATGGTCTAGCTCATCTTGGAGGCTGATTTTTCTTTTTTTTTTTTTTCCTTTTAAAAAAATTTTTTTAAAATTTTATTTTATTTTTAATTATAACAGAGTTGCTGTTATCTTGGGTTGAACATTCCAGTTAGGCATTGCTGATACTGTGTGCTTTACAGTACACGTGCTGCTGTTCATCTGAGAAGTGCTTATGCTTTCACACATTTAGGACAAAAAAAGTGCTGCTGTGCAGCTCATCTGGTCAAGCAAAACACAGAGCCTATGCAGTGTAGGCAATGAATTGCCCTGAATGCAGATCATCCAGAATTTCTTCAAAAACAACAGCAACAAAAGGAAACTCAAATAGTGAATAAATGAAAGGAAGCTATAATGAGAACGTGGTTATTTTGTAAGCAAAAAGAGGCCAAGTTAACTGAATAAATTATTCAGCTGTTAATTGAAAGAGCTTTTAAAATGAAATTTTTCTTCTACGTTTCCCTGCTGGTTTTGGTCTCTGAGCTTCTCCACTGAATATGTTTTCCCCGTTTTCTGTTAGCACCTATTTGTAGTGCTCGCTGAAAATATGATTATTCTCAGTGCAACCACAAAAAACAGCTTTTTTTTTTTTTCACTCAAATGTCATGTAAATATATTGTTTTGTTTTCCTAACTCCTTTTGTATCCCAGAAATTTCCTCTTTTTGTGTGGGGAATATGAAGTAGAATCTGATTGCTTGCTTGTTTTAAGACTGGCTTGTGTCTCCTCCAGATTTATCCTAACAATGTAACTTCTGGATTTTAAAACTTTAATGCTTCTTGCTCAAAATCAGTTTGATTTTACTGGACAAAGAGCCTGCTTTTCGTATGAATCTTTTTTTTTTTTTTAAATTTAAAAAAAAAGTTTAGATTCCATTTTATTTTGCGATATCCTGGTTTCCATTAATCTAGAATTTAGAAACAGCAGAAACGAAGTGGGTCAATAGAACAATTACCAATCAATAGTACATTGTTCTTGAGACCAAAATAGCTAATTAATACCACTTGCATTATGCTTTTTTTTTTTTTTTTTGTGATGTGGTTGGGAACTGGCTGAGACTGCCATAACCAACTTGTATAGCCTGGGCGGGAGCTCTCTCATACAAAGTCCAGACTTCAAAGGCCCCATTCTAATTAAATGATGGCCTGCGGTTAAGTGCGCACAAGTCACTTAATTTTTCTGTTCCCCATCTGCAAAATAGGGATAAAACTATTTGCTTTCTCTCCTGTCATTTGAGATTGCGGTGTGAGGCTGAGTGTGGCTTTGAGGGCTCATCTGCAAAGCTCGTTTTAATGTGCCTTGTTCGCCCCGAGGTACTCGCACATGGTATTCAGGCATTGTTTGAAAACAACTTTGCTTGCACCCCACAGTTTGGAGATGCAGGGTTGCGGCTTCTGTCTGAACACCTCACCATGCTGCAAGTGCTCAACCTCTGCGAGACTCCTGTCACGGATGCTGGGCTGCTGGCGCTTAGTTGTAAGTGACCAAAATAAGCTACAGAGGAAAATTCTGCGGGTTTGGAGGAATTCACGTGGGTTCAGAGAGAAGGTTGATTTCTTGGCTGCCACGGTACTGCTTCTGCAGGAGTTTAGGGCAGGCCTTGGTCGTGTTTGGGTTTAAACTTCCCCCCTCCCTGCCCACTCAAGTGGCTGTTCAGCTGCAGGCAGGGGAAGTGGGATGGTGATCTGAGCCTGCCGATGCTTCGTGGCCTCGTGTGGGCTTTGTTGGCGCAGACCATGCTCTAGCTCTTGCCTCCGACTGTACGTATGGCACTTGTCTCGCTCTCATGTGGTGACCTGCTGCCCTGGGACTTCCCAGCTTTTTTCACATGTCCTCCTGTGGGTGTCTCCTCTGGGTGGGAGTCTGACCTTGTGGTGCAGGAGGGGAAGATTGCAAAGCCGTGTAGCAACTTACTGGTGAGTTTAGCGACCATGCGCAGCAGGTTTCATACCTTCTCTGGCATTTTTTGTTCCTTCTTTTTTGGGGAGGTGAAACTCTTACTACGCTTAATTTAAATACGGCAAGGCAGAGTGGGGCCATCTAAGCAGCATTCAGGATCCCCTTGTGCACTGAGAGCTGCTCAATGTGCCAGGATGAGACCCTTGCCTACATCCAACAGTGTATTATAAACCTCGCCTATTGGGTTTAAGGGGCTCCTTTAATAGGCTCGATCCTACACAGACGTGCCGGACAGGCCAGTAGTTATGGATCATCTTAGGAAACTCTTCTGTTCAGTCCTGGAGCCTAAAGTGGAAATGGGAGAGGGAGGGCTGCTAGATCAGCATGGCCCCTGCATGCACCAAGCAGAGCACTGAGAATGGGCACTATTCGGAATCATGTGCAGGAAACTGATTACGAGAAGTTGCCTGAACTCCTTTGAAGTCAGCGGTCTTGAGCATATGCTTAATGGCCCTTCCTAAATAGGGACTTTTTCCTGGATGAGGGCCCAAACAGCTGTTTATCCATTCGTACTTCTATATTTTACACTATTCAGCTTTTTTCTGAGAGCGCTGCACATATTCATGTCTTATTTGTGCCTTGGCCTACGGTAAGCCTGATATTTAAAAAAAATGCAGCGTGATCATAATTATCTATGTGTTTTCTCTTCTAGCCATGAAGAGCCTGTGTAGTTTAAATATGAACAGCACCAAACTTTCAGCAGATACCTACGAAGATCTCAAGGTATTTCTGAATTGCATCTGCTAAAGATGAGAAGTAGCTGGCCCAGGAGGACTTGCAGATTTAGCAAGTACATGGTGGTAGTGCTAGCGCAGAGAGGACTGGCCCCAAGGAGTGGGTAGCATGAAAGTCATCTGAAGAGGGTAAAGTGGATTATTTTGGGGAGATAATGACTGAAAACAGCATTCTGAGGTTGCTGGCTGTGATGGACTCAGGAAACATTTAATATGGTGAATGGACAAGTATGAGATGGAATCAGAAACTGAATCTTTCTGCCAGTGCTATCAACAGTAAAGGTTTCATAAATAGGAGCACAATGGCTGTTTCTGATGAGGATACACAGACAGGTAAAATCTAAAGCACGCCTCCAAAGCCACGTCCTGTACTGTTAACAGGACCAAAACTGGGTGAACAGCATTACAGAGCTTTCGTTCAGAATGGAAAGGGAGAATTAAAAGCACTGAGGGAGGTGCAGGTTTATCTTGATACCTCTCAGAGCGGAACTGGGCTTTAAACAGAAACACCTGCACAAATGCTCGGTTCCCAAGTTTGACATGTAAGATGTCTGGTGTTACCATTCGTACTGTGAATTTACAACCACTTCTGCAAAATGATGTAAAGAACTAGAACGTGGCTGTGGGAGGGGAACGGCCGCAGGTGGTTTCAGACAAAGACTGCCTGAGATGCGTTGGATTTCATGACTTGACATGGACTTTGTCTTCATTCTGGTGTTGTGTGAGTCACATCTCCCAGAGTCTTACCTTATAAACCCAAGCGCTCAAGATGAAACTCCACATCATGTTGTCTTGTGTGTTTAAACATTAGGTTGTGCCAGGTTTATTCAAAAAGGTCACCACCTCGGGTTGAGTTTTGAACTTGAGGCGAATCCTGAAACTGCTCTGCTTTCAAAATTCACTGCAAACATGTAGCTTCAGTTCTGGCTGTTGAGATAGGGCTCCCCCAGGGACTCGGTTGCAATGCTGCTAGCATGGATTTTTCAAGATCAAGTTTTCAAAACTTGGGTCACAATTGTATATGCAAAGAAGACATCCTTAGAATGAACAGCTGGCTTGCAGATGGCTTCAGACAATGGAGCTTGTATTAGGCCCCAAGCATTTACAGACAATCAAGGTCAATGCTGTATTTGGCCCAGGGCTCTGAAATCGAGTCTATTGAAAGGCTCCTCCAGTCCTACCCCTGCTTCTGAGCCCCACTGCCACTAACTTCAGACCGAAACTCATATTTTCCTATCCGGTTCCCTCTGCTCTGGTATTGCATTTTAACAGTCCTCAGCAGCAACACAAGAAAGCGACTTGCCAGGGCAAACAGCAAAACTGGCTGTGAGCAAAGTCCCGATGATTGCAGAGAATTAGAAAAGCTGAGAAAACAGGCACGCGTCACTTTTTCCCCTCTCACCTCTTTCATTGAGATTTATCTTAGTGGCCTTTTTTTTTTTTTTTTTTTTTTTAGATCTCTGTGTGTTTTAAAGGGGGGGGAAATTTT